GGAGCGCTCGCTGCCTCCTCGGTTCCTCCGCCTCCCTGACCGCGCCCAGCCCCTCGCCGCTCCCGCTCTCCCCCTGTGCCAGGCCGTCCCTGTGTTCCCCGCCAGCCTTCGCTTCTCTCCTGTGTTCCCCGCGAGCCTTCGCTTCTCTCCTCTTCGGGCCTTCCCCCTGCCCTGCCTTGGACCCCGCTCCTCAGCCCGCGTCTCCAGGCATTTCCGCAAGATCTTTAGCGAGCCTGCCGCTCCCTCCGCGGCCGCCTCTCTGGGCCTTCCCCGTGACCCGCACTGTCCCCCTTTCCCTCCCAGCTCTAGGCACTTCCCCATAGCAGCACCGAGCCTCCTGGGCATCCATCTCACCGCCCTGTGTCAGGCTGCTTGGCCCCCATCTCTAGCCCTTGACACTACGCAGAGTGAGGGTATGCTGCTAGAAGCTTGGGGGATTTGCTTTCCTCGTTTTTATCACACTTTTAATTCCCGTGGTTTTGCACTCCACCACACAGTCAGCTCTTTCAGTGGTCCAGGGCCCTGAGCTGAGGGGTGAATGCTGCTATCTCGGCATTGTCTCCAGGAGGGAAGTCAGGTTGCACCGGGTGATACTCTCAATTGCTGTGTTCTTGTTGTAGGTCTGAGGTTGATGGGAAGGAGGTGGAGAACTCTTCGCCCCAGCCCTCACTGAGTACCCAGGATAATGACTAGCCAGAGGGCCTGGGAGAACTTCGGAGATCTCATAACCTCCAGGAGTTTTTTGTGAGAAAAATCAGCCTTCTACCAATTTAAGAAGTGTTTTCGCTTTTGACCAAAACCACAGTTACTGTAACAGTCATTTTTATGCCTCTTGCCTTCTGTTTTAATGAGACTGAAATTTACTACAGATCCTGTTGCTTTTTTCCAGGCAGCTTCTCCAGAAGCAGCAAGAGTCCATCCATATGTCTATGATACCCAAGATAGCACTTGTTTTAACTCTGGTTATTTGTGCTGGTTTTAAAAGCCTTAAGTTCTTTCTCTACTTCAGGACAGAAATGAAAACTGTTAATCCTGTAGGCTCGCCCTCCCTCTGCTCAAGCATGTCATTGTAGTGGTTTAAAACAAATGCATTGCTGCCTCTGCCTTTCTAACGTGCTGGTGTGCTCAGTCCACAGGTTAGTCACCTACATCTTTGTCTACGAAGACCTGACCTCCTTGACCTGTGGTGCCGTTATCATCTGGTACTTTGCTGGCAGCTTTGAGAAGAACGTTGGCACTGTGAAGCACTGCTTCCTCACCGTTGCCTTTGCCATCCTCTCCGCCCTCCTCTACCTCCTACTCGAGACCGTTGTCTCAAGGGTGTCAGAGGTAGAAGATGCCAAAGGATTCACCCCAGTAGCTTTTGCTACGTTGGGCGTGTCCACCACCCGCTCACGGATGAAGAGGACCCTGGTTTTTGGTGTTAGAGTGCCAGTGGTGCTGGTGCCATGGTTTATGCTCTGCATAGCATGGTTTATCCCCCACTCTTCTCTCCTGAGTAACCTGTGTGGACTCCTAGCCGGGGAAGCCTGTATCCTTTCCAAGTGCGAAGCCCTGAACCAGCCAGGGATTGCTGGCTCATGAAGAGGAGGACACCCTGAGGTTCTCGTTGCTGAGATGCACTGGCTTTATGTTGTTTCCTGGGCTCTTGCTCTGCGTTAAACTCTCACCACCTTTGCCAGTCCTCATCACACCCAGTTCTGCATTTGTTTCTCACCTCACGCTTCCACTTCCCCCGTGGCTTTAGCACATGCAGAGAACACGGAGCTGAGAAGGGCAATGGGCTCTGAACATGGCGTGGGGTAGAACAGGGAGAATTCTCCAGGAAAAGTGGTTTGTGGCCAGAGAGGGATTGTGTGTGGCTGTGTTAGAAGTGTTTTGTCTGCAGTCCTTAACATGCTGCTGACTTCAGATGGTCTTGGCTACTGTTTCTGCTTGGATTTTCCAGAGTCCATGAGCTCTAAGCTGGACCGGGTGTTCCCTTTCAGCCTGCTAAAGAGGATACCAGGGCTGAAATATATCCCAGGGCCCTTAGCAGAGAGAAGAACCTTGGAAAGCAGCAAGTAAGTATAGGAGTGTTTATGAAAGATCTTATGATATAGGGGAATTCGGAGGCATTAAATCACCTTTAAAAGCTGTATTGTGCTTGTGTTCATATCCTGGCTGTTAAGGGCAACATACAGGCCCATTGATACTACACGGGTGACATGACTCTGACTAATGCCTTATCATACGTTAACCAAGTCTTTCAGTGCAAGCTAAATTGAGGTGAAAGACCCCGCATTTGCTGCAGGGGCAGTGTGTACATGTGAAGGTATTGCAGCTTGGCTGACACAAGGCTAAGTTGTGCAGTTCTGCCCTAACAGTAGGAGTTCTGATTTGCTCTTGGCTGTATTGCTCCGTGGGGTGTGATCTTCATCTTTCTTTGCCCCACCTTGCTTCCCAGGAATGCTGTGAAGTGAGTTGTGTCCAAATGTGTGTAGGAGCAGAGCACTATAAACTGAAGATGTCACTTACGAAGCTCAGTGTAGACCTTTCAGCGCACTTTTTGAGTGTCAAGGCAAGATTGCTTTACCAAAAAGAAATGCTGGGACCTGTGGCTGACATGCAGGAGTGTTTTTAAGTCTGTGTATATTACAAGCCATGAGAACTTGTATCCTAAAAAGCTTGGAAATCTAGGTCAAAGTTTCCCCTGTTCTAAGATGTCATTTCGGTTTCACAGAGGAAGAATGGTTTTCTATTAAGGGTTAAATTCTATGTATTGTTTAAGCCATCAGCTCACTGCTCCTTGAAGTGGAAGGTTTTCCAAGTGTTTGCATCTGCCCTTGCCCATGGGGAAGCTATAAAAGAAACCCTTGCCTGCAGCAGGAGTGTACCCCGGATCCATTAGGGCACTCAAACGTGTGAGTGCTTGCAGGGAAGGCCGGGCAGATCCAGCAGCATTTGTGTTTTTACGTTCTTCCTTCTGTCTGTGGGAAGAGGGACTGTCTTGCTGCATGCTGAGCCTGTGACTGCATCAAATACTTCTGCTAAAAGCTGTTGTGCACAGCATCTCAGCTCTGTGTCTCAACCTGCTTTCTTTAGGTGAGATGACATAAATAGGCTGTTCTGGCTCAAAGGTATTTACATAAACATTTGACTATCAAGCAGGGTGTGGGAAGGTGTTTCTAGGATGTTTCCATTTCTGCAGCTAAATTTGCATGACTTAGACAAAAGTTCTGTATGTGGTTCTGGGGCTTAATTTTTATTATTTTGATTCTTATTCTCAAGTAACAGCTCTTGATGGTTTGGTTTGGGTTTTTTTTTAATCCAAGTAACAGCTCTTGATGGTTTGGGTTTTGTTTTTTTTTTAATTTTAATAACACTTCAGGCATCAACTCGCTACCAGACAGGAGAAATTTCTAGGAGGTTCAGGCTTTGGCATCATGTTTGTGTCCACAAATAAAACAAAACAAAAACCAAACAAAAACCTGAAATTAACACCACCCCTCACAAAAAAAAAAAGACAATCCAAAAAACCCAGGATGAGCCAGTCACTTATTCTTGCTGGGAATCTGGCAATCATGGTCTTCATGATTCTCAGCTCCCATGTTGTGCGTGGGCTGAGCAGTACTCCTGAAGTCCCAGAGGCTTTGGCTTCTAGGCAGATCGCCTCTCTCTTGGTACATCTCGGCAGGATGACTCATGCCTTCTGTTGGCAAAGGCTTTTTCTAGACCTTGCTTCTGAATGCTTAATTTTATTTGTAACTCTCCACCCTCCCTTTTTGCTCTATATTAGCACCAAAGGCCTTTATGGCTTCTTGATAAATAACACTTGGCAGCTGTGACTTCTCCTGATTAATAACCTAGCAGATGTGTCGTTCAGTGGAAGGCAGGGAGAATCCGTATGGAAATCTTAAAGCACATGGCAGTTTGGCTTGTTTGTTGCCTGCACAAAGAGACTCAGGGCCAAGGACAGTGCTCGTTCAGTGGGTGTGGAATTGGTGTGGGAACAGCTGTCCTGGAAGGCAAATAAACCTTTTTTTGCTCAAGTGCTGATTATTATAAGGGCTGCTGTTGTTGTAGTGAATCTCTGATGGATTGCAGTGACCTTTCTCAGCACTGGTCAGGAGGAAATCTACCCCCAGGGCACTTCCAGCTAATTATGCCAGTTCTGAACCCAGTGTAAGCTTCCTTTTTCTTCCTGCCCAGGATTAACCCTGCACCAGGGGCCTACCCCACCCAAAGCTACTACTGCTCTTCGCCTCCGGCTCTTCCTGCTTTCCAGGTGCAGCACCCCAATGCTCAGAGCCAGGGGTTTCAGCATGCTCTGGGATACGAGTCATCTTGGCACAGCCATGCTGCAGGACACAGCTTCCCTTCTTCTCCCTACCAAGCCAGAAGTGCCTTCGGAGAGTGTTTCGTGCAGGCCCACGCTGGAGCCGCGCCTGGACATAGCTGCCAGCTGGGCCAGTTCCCTCCCCTGCAGCGCGTGTGCCTGACTGATCCACAGACGCCTGCAGGTGTGGGTGCCCTGGCTGGGGTTCAGCAAGCATCAGGGTATCCCGCAGCCACAGCGGCTCCCGTTTCATCTGACTTTTCGAGAATCCAGGTGTACTGATCCTCTGGAAAGCAGCAGCACTGTTGTACTGCGACAGGACCCTTGTGTGATGCTCACACAGCAGTGCTTTGCTGGCATCTTTGCTGTCTCTGCGGTGACTGGAATGGGTCAGTAGCTCCAGTGTAGCCCATTCCCCTGCTCCCTGGCATGGGCTACTTATAATTATATTTCCTTTATAATTTTTTTTTAACTTTCTGACATTGCTGGGGGATGGGGACGGTGTCACCTCTCTGTGCTTCTCATCCTTTTGGAGTATTTCTTCACTGCTGTATTTAGCAGCTGCCTTTTTCCACGCTGCCACTGGAGTTACACTGCATCAGCTTCCCAGCTGAAGCTAGGAATCTAATTGTCAAAAATCTGGACTAATTTGGGGTTTAACTGGGCTGCAGCAATAAGGACATGTCCCATCCACACTCCATCCCTTGGCTTCCTGTCTCGTTTGTGGGTGTGATGTAGCTGGGACCCAAAAGAGCTTGAAATCATGGAAGTTTTAGTTTATAACTTAATATTTGAGTGGAGGAGGACGTATATCTGTTCTACTAGTGATCTCTGTACTAAGAGTGTGCCTTTAAAGGGGCTTGTTAAACCAGGCTGTGGCAAGAGGACAGAATACAGAACACCCTCTTCTGCTCCCCAAAACACAGCTCTAAAATGCTGAAGGTCCTTCACAGCTCATCGACATGTTGCCTTCCTTTTCTGACAGCACTGCACTAGCTCAGCCTGTTGCCAGCGCTTGCCAACAAGGCAACCTCAGGTGCATGCACAGTGGTGGAAGCCCCTTCAAGAAGGCATTTTGGCCATTTGTGGAACGAATGTGTATAAACCCAAGTAGCTGGAAGGGACCTGAGCAGTGAGTTGGCAGAATTAACTGGAATGTAGCGATGCCATTGGGGGTGTTCACACTGTTCAGCCTTAGATGTCTCACCCACTGATATTAGCACCATCTCTCTTCAGAGCTGGTGGAAAGGTGTGTGGGAGGGGAGTTTTCAGCAAGGGATTCGGAGCAGGATGCGGTGTTTGGTGCCTGTGGCAGTTCCATAGGAGTTCGGTCGAGTTGATGGGACTTGAGCTTGATTTCCAGCTGTGTAGCTGCTTCACTGTGCCCTGCCCAGGAGGAGTTTGCTGTTTCTGTAAAGCAGCCCCGTTCTCAACTATTGCCTTTGACTCTTCGCTTGGGGTTTTGATTTGCTCAAGAAAAATCCCCCCAGTGCTACATGAAGCACAAAGTGCCATTTCTGCTCTTGGAGGAGTTCTTGCCGAGCCTAACCTGTCCTCCAGAAACCGCGATACCCTCGGGGCTCTTCGTGCCATCAGTGAGCCGGGGTCATCGGCAGTGTTGGCAGCTGCGTGCTCCAAAGCACGTACGTGCTTCCTTTTTTTTCTCCTCCTCAGTATTTGAAGAAGCCCCATGTGGCTCTACAGCCACTTATCCTCCAGCAGCCCTCCTGGGATGGCTGCCACAGTTACGCGTGGCCTTGGAGGAGCTTGCTTTGGGAGACAACCAAAGGGAATGCCACATTAGGAAGAAGCTCTGCTCGCAAAGGTGGGTACCCCTGGGCAGGGGCTTTCTGCAGCATTTGGGAACCACCCTGGAGTTAGTGGCCAGCTCTGTCTCAAATCTGTTTCACTCCTCCATGGGATCAGAAATGGACTTGACTCCGCGTTCCTGTTTTCCCTGCTGACAGCAATGCACTGTTACGTGTTCAGCGTGGAGCAAGAACAGGATAAGGTGCTTCTTTGGAACTTAAGCACGTATTTTTAATGCCAGTAAAGAAATGCTAGAGATAACATTGAAATGTTGATACTCCACTCTCGTTACTGCCTTGATTTTCCTCCTTGTGAGATCCTCACCTGTAAACTTAGGCATTTTATCACTTTTTTGTCCAGAAACGTGCAGAATGGTGATGAGGACTGGTTGCAATTGCAAATGTTGTATACCTCCAAACTGTAAGCTTGAAACACAGTCTGAAAGACAAACTACTACGTCTCCGGGTTTGCTTTCAAGTGAGGAGCTGGAGCGTGCCCCTCCGGGTGCTGGGCTGGGTGCGATGGGGACGGCGGGTGAGGCTGCGGGTGTCTGATGGGTGCCGGCTGCGTGTCCCTGTGCACCAGGGATGAGCAGTACTGCAGGCTGGAAAACACTTGTGGGTCTGGAAACCAGTTATTTTTCCTTTCTGACTCTCACCACTTGATCTGGTAAGAGATTCTCCTTCCCTGCAGAGCCGTCAAAGGGATGGTGGGTTTCCAGGGAGTAGTTTCACGACTTCACAGTGGTAAAACATCACTGTAGCGTCACAGCCAGCAGCGAGAACGGCCCCAGGCCTGGCTGGTGTGGGAACAGACAGCAAACCTCCTTCCAGGAGGTAAGGTAGGCCCTTTGACCCCGGCAGTGTGGGGACATGCCCTTGTGCAAGAGAGCCACTAACCTTTATGCTGGGACAAGGCAAGTGCCACAGCCTTCCAGGTGAGCCCTGGGGATGGGACATGGCGGGATGGACACAGAACCACAGTGTGGGTTTTCCCTTCTGCTCCCAGCTCTTTTGTGAGCTTTTGTGGCAGGTCACTTGGTCTCTCTGATCTCTACAGCTTCCACCATGTCCCCAGGGCCGTTCTGAGTCCAGCTGCACGACTGCCACAGCACCTACCTGTCACTTGCAGTGTGTTGTACCTATGGTCAGCGGCCTTCAGACAGACCTTCCAAGGTATTTTTCACTAGTGAAGTCTGTTCCCTGCCTTCCCTGGGGGCAGCTGCTTCATGGTGAAAGGCTGTTGTATGAATCAGCTGAGGACCTTCTGCGTCTCCAGCGGTGGAGTCTAAGCAACTCCCAGGTCCCTAGGGCTGGTGGCAAACTCGGAACTTCTCACCCAGGGAAGGGAAATGGGTAGGAGGGAGGGAAGGGGTTGGGATGAGACATTCTCAAACGTGTCTGGAAGCCAAAAGGAGGAATTATATTTGTAAGAGAGGGAGGTAAAAATCATCAGCTCGCTGGGC